AGTTTATGCTAGCTCAGCTAAAGCAGATGTTGTGTCCTCTGTGGTTACAGGTTACCTCACAACCATATCAAAATACAACAAATGTCATGTTAACCACATGGCAGAAACATGAGCAGCCCTATTCACTTATTTACAGCGTCTAGACTTTAATGTTGTTTAGAAAGACTGCCATCGTGACGTTTTAACATTTTAAACAAATTGTGGTTGCATTATAAAAACAAATGACCCATCAATCTTTAATGTGCTGTTCTTAGGCAGAGGGATGCATTAGATACTTTGAACAAGCATGTCATTCTTCTTTAAAGGCTTCGAGCAGTTTTGTCACTGCACATTATCCAAAACATACTTCAATATGTATGTCGCAAAATCCCATTCTGCTGTCTTTGCCTTTGTCCGATAACTATCCCATAAATATCTTGTTTTTTTTTTAGGAGTTCATCCCAAGAGACTAAGACATAAGACTTTTATTCTTAGTTCAGAGAAGAAAAAAAGATACCACTTACCACTCTAAAAGTGAAAAACAGCACCAGAAAATGAATTAGGAATCATCTTAATAGTGCTATGGAATTGTGTCAGCCTGAATGATAGTCCCACATCTGGACAGGATTAGAAAATGTATTGTTAAAGATGGAAATGTGTGTATGAGGAGAACGTATGTATGTTCTTTTTTTCACGGACATTGAGATTTGTTACAGCGGGAAATGGAAATTTAATCTATAACTACTCTTGCATGTCAGTGAGCAAAAATGTAAAACATCAGGAATCTGGAACTATCTTATGTCACGGGCATGATGGTATAGTTTAAATTATGTACACGAATTATTACATTCTGTCAAGACAGAATTTCTAATATATTGGCCTATTATTACCCTGAAAACCTATTGGGAGTAGAGAAGCAGTCAATAAGGATTCCGAATAACACAAATGAGTTGATTCTGACACAACTTCAAGTGTTTATCACAGTCATAATCATAATTCTGTATCACTGTACCAAAGCCGTTCCACCTGGCACTGAACTTTATCTGGAGCAGAGTGTTCATGTAAACGCCAGCGAAGAGTTTGAACTCATTATTTTTGCAGTTGCTGTCAAAAGGGAAAATGACAGCAGATGTGTGCAACAATCTGTGAAAGCTTTGATCGGGGGGGGGGGATGACAAATCCAATTTGAGTGTGCGTACTGAAGATGCATTTTAACATCAGCTGTAAATGTAATCCACTCTAATCAGAGCGGAGACTTGTGCCAGATTTTAGAAACACGTCGGTGCCAAGCCGAAATGAGGCTATAGGACTAGTTACCGGGATAACTGGGGGATCGTATTCGTTCTTTTTTTCTTTTTTTTTCACTCTGCTGTTTGATCCATTTCCTGCCTCGGTGAGGGAGCTGGCACCACGTCCACGGGGAATCAGCAGTGAGGGAAGAACAGCTACTAAGGCAGAGTAAGAGCTCCACCTAGCGTTGCGGGATTTATGAAAACATAGTCTGTTAGAGAGAGATTGGGAATGCGCATTACGCACTACAGTAACACAAAGACTTGCGTTAAAGCGGATATTGATGAATTAGATGTCTCTGGGAAAGCATCAATTACTGCAAACACACACACTTACTCATTTCAAGCATCTTTTATTCAAATAACATGGGGTGCACATAACAAAAAATCTGGAGCTCTTTGCCTTAACCCCCGTTACCATGCGCCTTTTCGTACTCGACTATCAAGCGAATAACCCCTTTCTCTTTCAAAAGTGATCACATACCTGATTTTTCATACAAAACCCCCCCACCTCTTACATAGCGATGCACAGTCACATGCAGAAAACAGAAGTAGATCCAGACTCCATTGTGTAAAAATCCTAGCTTCATAAATATTTGATGTTTGCTCAGTGTTCGGTGTTTCGTGAATCTCCGCATAATAATACTCTGCTATAACTTTACCTATTCACAATGTGCCTCTCGAAAAGCGGTGGCGGTGTTGCTGAAGGCGAATGAGGCAAATTACCTACACGCACACAAACACACTCACCGACTGTGAAGTATCTGAAGTACGCTGTTGATACTGCAGAGGAAGATAAGAAACCTTATGGAGAAGTCAAAAGGCTTTCAAGAGACTTTGTCCAAGAGCCGCAGCATTTGTAACTGCAGTCTGTGGCTTAGATGAACATTGTTGTGGAATTAAAAGATGCAAAGCTCTCAGAGCCTCTGCAGATAGATCTGGAATTCCTATTAGTCAAAACTGTTGTTGCACCACCAAGAGGAAATAAAGAATCAGAAGCCTGTACTGTATGGGTGGAATGGGTAATGGACAGTTGTAGTCTGGATGCCAGGACAGGGAGGAAGCAGCCATGTACATAAAGGGACCGAAAAAGGAGAAACTCAGCTCAAGATATTGAATTGAATTGAAATTGAATAAACTTTATTGATCTCCAAGGAGACAATGACTTCCAGTACAGCCCGTACCAAGATCAAACACACATAGACACACCAGTTCAGGAAGACCGTGGGCAGCCACATATGGCTTAGAAAGTCAAAACATAGACTCAAGCCATGGAAAAGATTCTCCTCCAAAGATTCAGGATGTTTTAAATGCAAGAGAAAGGGACATTATGTACAATGATATCCAAGAGGATTCAACAGGTGATGACCTACACCAGGCTGATAGGCGTACTGAAGAGGGTCTTAGGTAGGACAGAATCAGTCTCTACAGGGCTTTCATCACGTGATTGGTCTAAAGTTGGTCTAAAGTTGGTCTATAGTTGATATAAAGTTGTTGAGGTCGGATGGTTTGGTTTTCTTTGGTCCTGGTCCTAAAGCAGGATCTTTTCTACAGCACCGTTATCCTCTCCTGTACAAGACTTAAGGACCCTGGGGCTGATACCATCAGGTTGTTATAATTGGGCTATAATTACTCACTTTAGCACAGCATGCTATAACTTAATCCATTTAACGACTGATTGTCTTATTCCTTTTTAGATTCATATTATTCCCTTTATAATTCTACTTTTGTGTTAAACTCTCTGGCTGTTCCTCCTCCTCCTTCTCCCTCTGTTACAGTAGATACTCGTCTTCAAGGCCAACATACACACACAAACTTTCTTATCATATTTCACTGAAACCTGCACGAAATTAAGATCCTCTGGCTTGTTCATGTCAGAGCAAACTGGCCCGGAAAAACTGCTCTTTGCTAAGTGAGATCCTCATGAAACTTTGTCTGTGAGAGCCCAGCGCTGATTTACTTTGCTCGTGACCAATAATTGCATTATTTGTACTCTTGATCTATTCTGGTTTATTCTCAGGCTTCCAACTAAAAAATCGGGGCTAATAAGGTCCTGATGCTTTTGGTATGGAGTATTGGAGTCTTTCCAGCTGTGTCCTCACCTGGCCAGATGTTGGGGGATGTGGATGATTCCGAGGAGCAAAAATCTACTTGGAGTTGGAGGATTGTCGTTGAGGGTTGTAGTTCAGGGCTCTCAGCAGGGGTGGTTCTGAGGGAGGCAGTGGCAGAGAAAATGTAATGACCCGGCAGGGGGTTGGAGCTGAATCTGTAGAGAAAAATCCATTCAGCTTATTTGCTCCGTCTGGGCTGCCCTTTTGCTGGTGGTCTTTGATGAACAATAAACGAAGCACTTATATCGAATGCCACCCACTCACACAGTTGATTTCATAAGACTTTCCAAAAGTAAAACTAATTCTTATATTATCACACTAATGTTTATCAATGTAATTATTTCTTCACTTAAGCTATTTGTGAATAACCTGGATGAAAAACAACGTAAAGCTACATTTTTACAGATTTTTTTACGATTTTTACAGAAGCTCTTTTATACATTTTATAAATCTGTTTCTTTGTAACTGAAATATTCGGAAACAGACAAACAAATTACTAATCTAATCCGTCCGTATTAATGCCACACTTTAAAAGGTTTTGCCTATTTTTAGCCTCACTTATGCTGAGCACATATCCAAATATGTTCTGAATACATTAATAATTACAAAGACAGGAACGTCACAGGCGACAGGCGTGCCGTTAACTCTCCAGTGAGCACTGGCATGCTCACAACAAAGATCATACATTAGTGTGACACGTTTGTATCACTCAGTCTCACAAACATTTAACCATTTGAACATGAGTTTGCTTTTACTATGCATTAAACATGAACTTAATTATTGCCCTATTTACGTCGATTTTTTACAATGTGAGCGATTCACTGTTTTTTATGGAAAGGTATCACAGGTAACACGAATAATGTTGATGTTTTGATCCGATATGTTCAACTAGATTGATATAAAATAAAGATTTTTTCTTTTAAAATGAGGAGTCAAAACACATGTGTACCCTGCCTCTTGCTCCTCAGCTGGGAGAGGCTTCAGCTCACCAGTTTTTTCTCTTTTTCAGAGCATTTTCCGAGGCTTTGACTTGATTCTCTTTTCGGCCGGCTTGTTTATAGCCTTTGTACTAGTTTCTAACATTTGTCTGAGTATCCCTGAGATTGAGAGCATTATCAAACTGTTTATTCTGGTTTGATTGGGTTTATGCTATATCCTTATTCAGGTATATCACAAAGACAATCAGTTGAAATAAACTAATACAACAACTAAGACTACACAAACTAAGTAATCTAAATAAACATCACATAATTTCTTTAGCTGTTTTTTTAGTCTTTTTTTATTTTTAGTTCTTTTAGTTTAGTCTAGTTTGAAAAAGCCACTTCTGTTGTGACTGAGAGGACCCACTGAGATAGTTAAACATACAGAAGCGGCTTGTTTCACACATAAAAAAGCTAATTCTGTTGTTTGAGTTCATACTTATTTGTACGCTAAACTGAATTATGTTTAATTAGCTTTAAATAAGGTTATAAAGATATATCAATTGTACATGGGGAGTAAGTTTTCTGATTCTTGATGCTTCCCCAGAGTTATATCGTACCCATTCATAGTTAATAAGAAAATACACTTTTCATCACAACACAAAAATCAGAACAAACACATTGATATTTGTATAACATTATTTTATACATGCCACCCCTTTCCCCCGATAAATCACAAATACAAGTGTCCAATAATTAATATATTCATGTATGCATACAGAATAAGAGAGACAACAAAAATTCACATAACAAAAGACAGTTTAAATATGCAGAATGTCAATCGCATGTCAAAGCCTTGATTCAGCATTTTTGTTTTTAACATGCACTCAAATATAAAAATAGACTTTTGATTAAATTTATATACACTTCTTTTTTATAAATATAAGTATACAAATGTATTTTTAAAATACAAGGATAAATACAGTCACAAAGTGTACAGTGTGTACCAAACTAACAATTAATAAACTTTATTTGGGATACTTAGCATTCACAAAACACAATTATTTCAATTGAAATGCAAATTTAATGACAATTGCAGGTCTTTTTTTTTTCCTCGCTTCAGTCTTTTCCTACGCTCACTTGCTCTCGCTTGTATCCAGCAGAAAAGAAAGCGAAAGTGAGCGTACGGTAATAAATAAAAACGCGTCGGCGGTCTAGCTCTGCCTCACGTCCTGCAGGAGCTTGTTGATCTCGGCCACCAGTTCGCTGGCGTCCACCAGCTCGTGTCTGCTGTCGCTCCGTTTCCCCTGGAGGTGGCTGAGCACCGAGTCCAGATCGTCCTCCTCGTAGTTCTCCGGGATCTCCTCCATGGCGGGTAGCCACTTGGAGCAGGATCCGTTGATCGGAATCGGGACCGGGGGAGGCTGCCCTTGCGTGGTGCTGACCAGTGCTGTGAGCAGAGGGCTGCTGTGCAGTTTCGGGGTGTGGTTGCTGGTCTGGGGGCAGGGTTTGGGCGCCTGTAACCCTTTATGACCGTTACTCTGGGAGCTTAGCTTCGTGTTGGGTTTTAGGGTGTGGTAGCTCCCGCACGGTTGCTGGCCGGACGGGCCGATGCTACTTCCCGGGTTCTGAAAGTGGGTGTTGGCCGCCCAGGCCGCCACACCCTGGTGATGGACGGACGGGCTGGGCTTGCCCGGTAGGTGACCCCTCCTGCGATCTAGAGAACCGGTCATGGGCACGCTCACCCCACTCAGGCTAGTCCCTCTTTGGTTCTCGTTAGAAGTCACGTAAGAGTCCATACCTTGTGGTAGCAACCTCTGGAACACACTGCTCATCTCGGTCAGCAATGAGGTGGTCCCACACAGGTCTTCATCTCTGTTCTCATTGGAATTCCCCTCCCCCCCGTCTTCTTCTTCGCCGTCCACCCCGCCGGGGTCCTTGCCGAAGGTGGAGAAGCTCTGGTTCCGGACGGCGCACATGTCGGAGCACGGCTGGGGGATCTTTTCCTCGGAAATGTCGATGGTTTGGTGGGCTTCTTCGCCCGGAATGTACAGGTTGCTGCGGTAGTCGGCGGAAGAAGAGGAGGCCGCCGCGGCCAGGGGGGGCATCCAGCACTGGTCTGAGTGACCCAGGACGCGACACTCCTCTGTGCAGAACCTCATAGCTGAAAAGAAGGGAAAGACGGAAACACTCTTAGCCCTATAATGCCAAATGTATCATATTTGATACAAACGATTTTCTAAAGTCTTTTGGATCTGAGACTTTTTGCATAATTTGCTCAAACCCCTGTTGTACACATTCAGATATACCTGATAACAGCCAGTAGAAGACTACACAAAAACATATTTTTGACTTATTGCACGCTAATTTGATCAAAATAATGTCGGTTTTTGTTGTTGAGGGCAGTGTTGGGTAAGTTAATTTAAAAATGTAATCCGTTACAGTTACAAGTTACCTTGTTTAAAATGTAATTGTAGTGTAACTTTTTCGATTACTTTTAAAAGTAATGTAACTAATTACTTTTGATTACTTTTTGATTACTTTAAGGTTTTAATGAGTATTGACCCATGATTAATTTTAGCATGTTATTATTAGCTATTGGCCGCAGCTAGCAGTTCAAGGCTAACATCTTGTTAATGATCATAAACAACGTAAATAAATACATAAATAAATCGGTTTACATATTTTCTCATTGTAACGAATTACAGTTACTCTTTTTTTGTAATTAAATTACGTAACGTCGTTACATGTAATCCGTTACTCCCCAACACTGGTTGAGGGGCCAAAAAAAGACTTCAGACTAAAAAAATCCGATATTCTTCCTCTTTTTCTTGGATCAGGCTTTAAAGGGCTGAATCATTCCCACTAGAAAGCTGAAGAAGTGGTAATCGTTTTTGAAAATCGCTAAAGACCAGTGAAATGCGTCACATGTGCGTCACATGTGCCAAAGCGTAAAGAGTTAAGACCAGCTGATACATGTATAACCTTTCAAATGACTTGATACGTCAAATATTCCTATTTATGTTCACTAAATTATCGAAACAGTCTCTTTTTAAAATACACACTTAATGGAATTGTGGCTATGATCAGCAGATCTACAGCAGCATGCTGGAAATGTCTTTTTGTGTACATAGATTACAAGTACATATGACACTGAGATGTGATCAAGAAGCTAGCAGACTATCAGTTCTGGATATCCAGAAGTCATGTCACTGGGTATTAGCAAACTTAAAAGAATACCTTTGATTTTTGTTAAATGGATAGCATCACTAAAAAGGCTGTTGCTAATCTTTGATTACATGCAGTACTACTTTTGGGTACATTTTCAATATTTAAAAAGCTGTTTTAAGCATATTTATATTTGCTGTATGAGATGAATGTAATAACAATATTAAAGGGAAAGCTTTAGTTTTTAGAAAGCTGATAGAGATCATATTTCCCTGCTTGTTCATTGGTGTTTCATTTTTCCCTTTTTTCCACAGACTACTCGTTATAAAAGGCTCTCTACCTTCCAATATGTTTGCCACAGAGAGATAATTGAGCTTGGTCGATAAATGCTGATTATAAATACAAAATTACTCACTATTTAAAAAGTCTGTATATTCCCTTCCAAGCCAGTCTTTTAGAAATATTAAATCTTCAAATAGAAAATATCTTAAGAATAAATTAGACTATTCAGATCTTCCAACTTAAAACCTTCATTAAAGGATTGCGAGGCTTTTTGGTCTTGCTATTTAGGGACTTCATTATCCCCTCATTAATATGAAGGGAACATTTATAATACATTTCAGAACAGATGAAAAAGGCATTTGGGTGCAGTGGAAGGGGACAAAACCTTTGCAAAGACAGCTTGGTTGCCATACTGATAAAAAATTCAAGATTGAACCCTACTGATCATATTAAAAAGAATAATGCATCAAGCAAACAGTAAGTGAAAGGCTGGCTATGAATCAAAGTTACTGCAATGCAATTATCTACATAAAAGACGAGAGGCAGTGAAAAATAAGATGCAAACTGGATTGATGGTTCTAATGAAAAGACTTATTTTAAGGCTCATTTCCTCAATCAAGGTCAGCAGTTCTATTAGTTCTAGAAGAGATTGCATCATTGTGATCAGGACTAATCCCTCTGGTTTCATATGCTTCTTAAGAGCCAGGTTACAGTACACAGCAGTCTGTACGAGTGCAAAAGTTAATTAATTCTGATATGTGGAGTTTTCAAAATGACATCTCAACCAAAATCTAGCTTGACAGTGGCAATGTTCCAGATAGTTACTGCTCCCAGCCAATGGACCAGCTGCTGTTTCAGCAGAAAACCAGTTTTTCACCAGTGGACTGGTCTGGTTATGCCTGTGCTTTTAGTCCAATTAAAGAAAACGTGGGCATATTGAATTCCTCACCCGGCGCCGCACATTACACAGAGATTTGCGAGCTTTAGCCGCGTATCACGCTCCAGCAGACGCCGGTCTTCTGCACGGAGACTGGTGATTGCACCCGCCGCATTTAGCTAGCTGAGGAGGTTTTTATAGCCCGTTATACGGACCGCTAAACGCTTCTCAAAATCATCCATGAAGCGGTTGGACATGTGGGCGGGAGATAAGCAGAACATACGGGGGGGAGAAAGGTAAGCTTTGAGGTGTAATTATGCTCTTCAGAGCTTACTCATGAGCACAACTTAGCACTGACTCCATAGCAACTATTCCCCACATGGCAATTAAATGGCTCCTTTTCATCAGAGGAGTGAGCCGGGTTCAGTTTCAACAGCTTAATGTGAAGGGCTTGAAGGTTGGTTGGAAAAAAAAAAAATAGGAGAGCTACTAACGAGCCGAACTCCTCCACAAAACTCAGAGAGGGGGGGGGGGGGGGGGGGGGGTAGGGGGGAAGGGAGGTGTTACTGATGAGACTGACTGGCCGTCTGGGTCGACTTTAATTGGAATGTAGCTCGGTGTGGAGTGATGGCTGTGTGGGAAGCTGGCAGGAAGGGAGCAGGAGCTTTGGGAGGAGAGCGAAGGCATGATAAAAGAAGCTCTGGCAGCTTGTAACCTGTGCAACATTTGCCGAGACAGGCTTAGCGATGAGGGAATTTTGGAGGACGTGACTGAGTGGGCTCCTACTCGACTAGTGTGTAGAACTTGGGATATTTGATGCCAGAGGGTATAATATTTTAAGGTTTGCCGGGTCAAACGGCCAAAAAAGTGCTCTTGCTTGTTAAGTGAGCTGTGGAGAGGATGGAAAGGCCATGCAAATGAACAGCAGAGGGAGGAGACAGAGGTTGTGATAGAGGATCACTTGACCTATCTGGGGAGATGTGGTATCTCGAGGGGTTTAGAGATGTTTAAATAAGACACATCAGTCTGAGCATTGTGTACCTAATCATTATAAATCATCATCGGCTAAAAATGCACTTAGAAGCATGTTTGCTGCAGAACAAAATTAATGGAAAATTGTTTACATTCAAATAGCAGAATACTAGAAAAACTTCTTGAATTGTTTAGTTTTTTCAACTTGATACTGTACATCTTGCATATTTTACCCACTATTCTAACAGTTGATTTGAAGGTTGACATTTTTAATAGATGGATAAAGCTTTGTAATTTAATTGGTTTGGAGATGCGTCATATAAACTTCACTTTTCTTTTTACGAAGCTGCATAATAACAACTAAGCAGGAAAAAAATCTATTTATTTGTGTGACCATAACTCTGACAGACAATCAACCCATAAGCCCAGTTGTTGAAGCCTCATTTGACCTCATGCATGCATAAATAAAACAAAGACTGTGGGTTTTGTCTCTTATCTATATCTGGGCACAGTAGTCTGGGCACATCAGACCAGTGCAAGTGGTCTCACTCACTCTCACTTCTCTGCCTGCAACTAAATATTTATAGTTTTTCTGCATATCTGGATTGAACACACGACTGTCTGGGAATTTGTGGGCGAAAACTCCTGGTTCCATTGTATTTTGACTTTTCTCTTCCCTATAATCATACAGATCTGATGTGTGAGGACATGTGCTGGTATTAAATGTATGAAAGTATTAGGGATACATATTAACTTAGTGAAATGAATGGTTTCTGTACAATGTGGTCAGTGCAGTACACATAACAGGTTAATAACAATATCCTCCTGAGACCCGGCCCATTCATTTATGTCCATTACAGTGGACATTTTGTCCACCTGTACCCCCCCTAAGAATCTGGAGTTACCCTATCAAGCCCTATAGTGTTCTGTAGAGGACATCCCGGGCTTTCCAGTGATGTGCCATGTGATAGGTTTGCATGCTGGGAACTTTACTTTTTTCCTAAGAGTTCTTAGGTAAATATCCCTTTCAAGACATCTTCTTTTTTATTATTTAATTATCTAAAGCCTGTTCTATTTTCCCATGCAAATCGTCCTGTTGTCCTCCACAGTGGACATGCTATGAAATTAAAATGAAAAATATTTTTTTTAAAAATTGAAATTGTAATGTTCTTTTTTAGGTCCAAATACATGGAAAATCACAACAAAAAAGAAATTTGAAGACACTTTTTTGGGGGGGGTCTCAGGAGGTTATACATGAATACCCTAATGCAGGCATTTGGCTTTAAAATGGCAGAGGGTTGGGGTAAATGGCTATGGGGAGGGGTGGGGTGTACCTGTTTGTGGTCTCTGACGGCCATCGGGGGCATGAAGTTCAGCAAATCCCTCACCAAGGAGCCTGTCCATTGGTGACTCCCTGCCAGGTTCGTAGTCGCTATCGCCGGCTTCACTGTCTCCCCGACCACTATCCTTTAGACTGAATTTATCCATCTCATTCAGAGCATATCTGCAAGGGGAGAAATGTGATTATTAATCACTAACGGTTACATTATTACATGGAGAAATAAGGTGCTGGGAGAGGCGGTGTGTACTCTGCAGAAAGGGTTTTGCATAAAATTATGCAAATGTGAAAAATACTGAACATTCAGTTTGACTGAACTGAAAAGCTGGAAGTTATGATTATAATGGGCTGTATGAAAGTACTGAATGCAGACGCAAGAAAGTGTTTTTCCTGAAGCTATTTCTCATTATTCTTTTCAAATGCATTACCTGTAGCTCCTGGTATATTTATTGCCTCTGAAGCTTGGTCGTGGCTGGTACTGGCCCTGATGGAGCATGGACAGAAGCTGTGAGACTTGCTATAACACCAAGAGACAGAAAAAAACAAAAAGGGACAAAAAAAAAGAATAAAAGGAAAAATGAAGAGGGGAAAAATGAATGGAGTCAAACAAGCAAGCCCACGAGACAATGGTAGTCGTTGGGGTAGGGGGGGTGCGTTGTGGGGAAGGACTGTAGGGGGGGATTATGGAAGTGACATGACTTGGTGATTTGCATCAAAATATGATGGTTAACAAAACATGAGGTACAAATAACTGAGGGTAAAATATGGGATACAAGGGATACATTCGGATAAAATGCTACATAAAAGAAAAACAACATTAACATCCTATATTGTTTTTTTTGTCTTATTTTCATTAATCGTATTCAAATCTTGACATGTATACAATATGTGTTGAAGTTACCAATAGCAATTATTATTCCAAGCTATGAATAACATTAGCAAAGTAAAATAAACGTAAAAAGCAGTCTTACCTCTACAGGTGGGGTGGCGTGGGCCAACTCCAGGGCAAAGTTCTCCGTCACAAGATTAGAGGAGATAGTGACCAGGCTGTTGAGGGACTGACGGCTGTGTTGGCTTTGCCTGCTCCCAAGAGTGCCTCTCTCAGCTGTGGGCGAAGGCAGGGGCGAGTGTGGGTGTGAGCGGATGGGTAGGGTTCCATTGACGCTTGGGACCAAGGTGATATCGGCCTTGTGGATCTGCCTGGCGGGCTTTTTCGGGTGGTTTTGGTAGCTGCTCTCTGCCACGCGGCAGTTGTAGTTGTGTCGGGGGTCGTTCTTCTCACGGCTGCAGCGGGCCGTGGCGAACATCACCATCACGATGAGCAGCAGGGTGCAAACAACGCCGAGGGATATGATGACGATGAGGGAGAGATCTAGGGAGGCCTGGCTGGAGCCGGTGGGATAGAGCGGAGGGAGGATGTCCATATCCTCCTGCAGAGAGAGCCTGAACAGGGCTCCTGTGGTCAAACGACTGGTACCCCTGTCTTGGACTTCCACCCTGATCTCCAACATGTCCCTTTGAAACTCCTCCAGGCTGGCGTTGGTTCGGAGTTCGCACCGACGGGCGTCCATGACGAAGAGCCCGTCCTCGTTGCCGCCGATGATCGCGCAGCTCACTTCCCCGTTGGCGCCGGAGTCCCGATCCCCGACTTTGAGCGTGGTGATCAGCTGACCGGGCGACGCGTGCCTCCAGACGGGCAGCTCGGCCGTGTGGTTCCGAAGGGGAGGCGAGTGGATGACCGGGGCGTTGTCGTTTTCATCCAGAACGGTTAGCAGGACCGTGGTGTTGGCCGACAGAGCGGGGTTCCCCCCGTCGCGGGCCTGGACGGTGAAGACGATCCGGCTCACGTCCTCGTGGTCAAAACTGCGCAGGGCGTAAATGGCACCGGTGGAGAGGTCAATGGTGACGTAGGTAGAAATAGGGCTCTCCTGAACCAAAGAGTCAATGACCGTGTACGTCACCTGACCATTGGTGCCCAGATCTGGATCCGAAGCCACCACGGTCATGAGGTAGGCTCCAGGAGAGTTGTTTTCAGATTTAAAGACCTCGTAGCGGCTTTTCTCAAAACGGGGAGGGTTATCATTCTCATCCAGCACTTTGACAGTGAAATGTTTGATGGTGGAGAGACTGGGGGAGCCCCTATCCTCAGCTATGACTGTCAGGCTGTACTCGGACCTTTTCTCCCTATCCAGCGACACGTTGGTGAGGATCATGTAATTCTTCTCGTGAGTCTTCTGGAGCCTGAAATGGCCATGGCCGTGCAGCCTGCAGATCACCTCTCCATTGAGTCCCGCGTCCATGTCGTCAACGCGCAGCAGAGCTATGAAGGTATCCACCGGGGCCCCCTCGGAAACATAGGCCACCTCTTCTTTGCCGGGTGTCATCAGGTTGATATTGATCTCCGGTTTGTTGTCGTTCACATCGATCACTTTCACCACAATTTTGCAGAGTCCAGGAATGGAGTTTGGACCTAAATCCTGAGCCTTAACGTCCAGCTCATACAATGGAGCGGTTTCATAATCCACCTTTTGAATCAGCGTAATATGCCCATTTTCTGGGTTTATCTTGAAGGTTTCTAATATCTTTGGGGAGACATGGCTGCTGAATGAGTAGACAATTTTTCCGTTGGTGCCCTCATCTGGATCTGTGGCGTTCAAATCAATGAGTAGGGTTCCGAGGGGGGAGTTTTCCGACAAATTTATGACATAGGCCTGCTCTTCGAACTCGGGGCTGTTGTCGTTGGAGTCCGAGATACTTATTTTGAGCAAAGTGGACCCTGACTTGTGGGGCACGCCGTTGTCAGAAGCTGTGAGCTGGAGCTGGTATCCGGACTGGACCTCACGGTCCAGCTCCCTCATCACCACCAGCTCCGCGTACTTGGCCCCGTCCGTCCTGGTCCTCACGTCGATCCTGAAGAAGTTATTGGGCGTCAAAGAGTACGTGTCCAGGGAATTCTCTCCGACGTCTGCGTCCATGGCGCCGTCCAGCGGAATGCGCGTCCCGATGGACGCGCTCTCTGAGATCTCTATCGGGACTATAGCGCGGGAGAAGTGCGGGGAGTTGTCGTTTATGTCCAAGACCTCCACCTCCACATGGAACAGCTGCAAATACTCCGTGGGTAACGTGACCACGTCGAATTCGATCGAGCAGTTCAAGTTTTTGTCGCAAAGCTTCTCTCGGTCGATTCTGGTGCCGATGCTGATCTCGCCGTCCTCCTCCCGGACGGACAGGAACGACGTACTCCCCTGCTGCATGGCACGGAACCGAAAGGTCAAGGAACCCGGCAGCTTGGATAAAATCCCGGCGACGTCCTCCTTTAACCGCGCAACAACCGTGCCCACTTTCTGCTCCTCGTAAACTTTGTATTTCAGAGTGATGCCGGTGGCGCTTGGCAAAAGTGCCACAAAAAGCAGCAAACGCGTCGCCGCGGAGAATATACTCCCTTTGGTTTGAGTAGTTTTTGCCCCCATCTTCCGTGCGCACTCCTTTCCCGGAGAAGAAGAAGAAGAAAAAAAATTGGGGGAAAGGAACCGATGCCTTTTCAGAGACCTGGCATCTTAAATCCTCCTTTTGCTGCTCTCTGCCCGAAAAACAAAGGATTTCTGTGGACGGGCAAATAAATTAACAAATAAATAAATATATTAATCTGGATAAATTACAGGCAAAAAGGCGCTCCTTTGGACTTGGAACTGTTCCTTCTTTCTTTTTCTTTTCCATATACGCCGCGGCGTCTTGTGTGCGCGCCTGTGCGTAACGGGAGAGTGTGTCTGGAAGAAGAAAGGCGCAGCTTTCCCCCAGTCTGCGTAACACAGAGAAAGAGAGAGAGAGAAAGAAAGAGAGAGAGGGACAGAGGGAGAGAGAGATGGATGGAGTAAGCTGTGCGCGGTCTGGCTTGTTGCCGATTCTTTCTTTTCTCAGCCCGCCCCACACCAGACTGCTTCTCTTTTTTCCCCCCACAAAACACCCACTCCCCCCCTCTTTTCTTAAATTAGAATGACCCTTATCTGGCAGCGCAGGAGGCACTATTCATGCCCCCCCCCCCTCTCTCTCTATCCCACCGACACAGACGACACCCCCGAATTAAAAGTGTGTCGCAACAATGGAGCAGACGAAAACTTTTTACACAAACGCCACTGACCCCGGCAGGCGCACATTGTTACGGTTTCAATCGCAAAGTGTGCCAATTCGGCTCTTCTGTGGGTTATGTCTAACAAGTTGTTGCTTTCAGAGTAATAAAACCCACTGGAAGGGGAAGTGTCCAGTTTTTCACAGTCATTTCGTGCCATACGTTAAATGAAAAATCAAAATACGACCGAAAAAAGAAAGATAATTTGGTAATAGTGTGATCAAATTGTCATATTTTTGATGGAACTTTGTTCTTATTCAAATAATTTTGTATCTGCTGTTACAAAGTGTGTGTAGTAATCTGCCCATCTTATCACTTCAACCATTTGTCCATATTTTCCAATTGGATATTCTCCCATCTTTAAATTGAAGACCAGACATTGTAATGGGATCTAGCCAGTAGATTTAAGAGTAAAACCATTTTATTTTCTGGTTTCAGTCAACAAAAACTGCCCATCCGTTGACACGTTGACAAGGGGCGTCTATAATTCCTCTCTGTTTGAACATTTCTACAATATATAACTAAGATTGGAACATCTGATGCGTTCATTTTTAAACACGGGTTAAGAGCCTTTTATTTCCATTCTGCTCATAATCTAATCAGCATTCTCACACTCATCAATGCTGAAGTTGGAATATCCACGCAGCTGCACCTAACCCCCAGCCCATCCTGCTGCACAATAATGCTCCGGAGCCTGTTTTTCCCCCATCGGTCTGGGAGGGAGGTGGAGCAAACAAGTAGGCAGAACGAGCTTTATGAAAGCATCACTATGCCATCTGGAGAGCTTCAGACAGCTCAGAGCCCGAATAATGATCCTTGCCATCCCATAGCATGGAATTAGGAAATTACCCTCAGAACAGATTACAATCTAATACCATTTTCTCTCTATTGCCCCTTCGAAACTTAACTTGTATAAATTCAATGAACAGTTAGTGGATGTCCGGTGACTGTTGGTATGTTTATGTGGAGGAAGGTCAGAAAATGTTTTAATACCACACTATGATTCACAAATTGGGTCCAGCTGTTTAAGTTCTATGCAAAAATCTTGGTTTTGATAATTATGTCCCAGTCTCAAATATAGAAGTATGAAGGTTTTATAGGTTCTCCATCACCTCGTGTTCCTAATATCGGTCCATATGTGATGACCACATATGGTCAGCTCCTGCCTGGGCTGGTTTTTAGGCACAGCTGATCTGGGGCTGGCTGTTTGAGTCGTGCCTTTGTGATGATTTTTTTTTTTTTCTTCTGCATTTTAAGTTCCTGCGTGTGACCCGTGGGAACAAGTGTCTCCGGACCACCATCTGCTCCCGAGGAAACCAGCATCCCATCTACCAACGCTGATGCTGCGGTTCACAATTAGCGTCCTGAGACTTCCTCCCCCATTTAAACTCACATAGGTATTTCTTATGCCATTGTGAGACCATTTTAGGTGATAGAGTCATATTGGACGAGGTCTACAACAGGAATGTGCAACAAGTGCTATAAAAACACTGTTTGAGTTTTAATGTTGGACCAGTCAAAATGTGGTATATTTAGATATGAGCCTATACATAGATAGATAGATAGATAGATAGATAGATAGATAGATAGATAGATA